AAAAGATGTCAGACAAAATTAACTTTAAAGAAAAGAGCATTACTTGATATTCTCCAAGAAGACAAAATTTAAAAATGAAGTAATGGAATGTTTCAAGTGTCTCCTGTGAGCTGGGATTCTTTTCATTTTTATACTATTTTGTCAAGGCAAATGGATTTTTTTGTGTGTGCTTTCTAAGTAGAATTAATTACTAGTAAGTTTATAGTGTTTCTTGTCAGAAACAGTGATATTTCATATGAATTCCTTTACATTAATTTAGATCATCAAGTCCCAGTGGTCCCACAACCTTTCTCAATTTTCAGCACATAAATTATCAACATTACTCAAAATCTTAGTTTCCTTCTACATAATATGCCAGAGTGGCATGGGCCCAAGGAATAAAATCTTATTCTAATTGCCTAAATGTTTACAGGACTAGTCAGTTAAATATGCCATCAAATATTTAGGGAGACTGTTTTGTAACAAATATAAACATTTGTTTTATAATATTGTAAGCATCTTTTTAAAGGAAGAAAATAAACTTGGACATTGGATCAGCAACACCATTAGTATAAGATAGCTAGCTGTTGCACTCTGTACTGTTTCATGAGCCTAGGGAATTTAGAATATTCTGACATGGCCCACGCTGAGCACTCCAGAGTTAGTTTTCTATTTTGTCATAGAACAAATTAACAACCGGCGGTGATAACATGGTTTTGAGCCCAAGGTAGTCAAAGCTATGAGAGTCAGCTCCAAAGAACTACTGTCTCGCAGATTCTGAGAAATTCAAATTTAAATGAATGCATCACCTCCAAATCCACTCCCTGGAGATATATGATGATGATGACGATGATGATGATGATGATGATGGTGATGATGGTGATGATTTCTTTTTGTTATCAGGTAAGACTCACAAGATTGAGGCAACACCAAGATAATGAAACACTGCTTTTGAAAAAAGGAGTACCTAAAACATTAGCTATAACTTTTATCACCCTTACATTATATTTGTGAACTTCAGACTATTTTTGCGCAGAGATGGTTCTATAAATCAAGTTTCTTTTGTTTTCAGTGATGTTCCTTTTTACATGTTGTTTATGTATGACCAACAATGAGATGAGATGTAAGGAAGTTGTCTTCTCTTATTGCCCTGAGACCAACTCGGCTTAAATGTACAGATATTGTCCCGATTTAGAAATGCTTAGAAGTAAACTATAAAAGCAGGGGGCCTGGGAGTATGAACAATTATATTTTCTTCATCAAAACCAAATTTAAAATGTTCATTTGGATTTTACTATAGAACTGTGCTAGTTAGTTTTATAGTAAAATACAATGCTAAGACCAACTGTGGCAGTGATTTATACAGATTTATTATAGATTATAAAAAAATAAAAATGCTATGGAAGTTTTGCTATATTTACAATGGTACATTTATATACACGCAAATACACCTCAATATTAATGATAAAATCTTATGGTTTTAAAGAGGCACATTTCCTCCTACCCACCCATTTCCATATATTCAAAACCATAAGTTTTCATAAGCAATGTTTAGATTTATGAAGGAAAAAAATGAGTATTTCCAACACCTAACCTCTTTCCTTTCTTCCTTTCCAGCTTTGGGAGACACAAAAGCACACAGAATGTCACGCACAAATTTAGGTTTGTAAGACCTATGATCCATATTCACATATATCCAATGAGTTGGCTGCAATAGGTCAGAAGAATTTTGAGCAAAGCAATGT